CTGGGATTTTGGTGAACATTGCATTGCATTTGTAGACCAATTTGGTAAGTATTGCCATTTGAATGATATTAAGCCTTTGGATCCATGAATATAAGATCTTCTTCCATTTACTTGGGATGTCTGGATGTTATAAACAGTTAACATAATAGGGTGCTGGTTAGAGGTGTGAATCCAGAAGCACTTTGGAAGAAAGGCTTGATGACCTAATTTCAAAAAATCAGCTATTGGAAAACCTGTGGAGTGTAGTTCTCTAGCAAACAGAATCACCATGGGTCAGAATGGACTAAATGGCAGCTGATAAGGAGACATGATTACTAAGTGCTGTGTAGTATTCTTCGTTGGATCCCGAAACAGAAAAAAAGGATCAAGTACAGCGTTTACTTACTGTGCCAGTGTTGTCTTAGTTTTGGCAGATGTCGCATAGTAATGTACAATTACGTTAACATCAGAAGAAACTGAATGAGGAATAACCAGGAACACTGTTCTATCTTTGGAACTTTTCCCTAAATTAAAACTTTATTCTTTAAGAAAGATCATTCGTAGAAAAAAAACTGATATTTGGATTGGTGAGGGAAAAAACTTTTAGTCATAGTATTGTACCAATATTAAAACCTTACTTTTGTACTTTAGTTATGTAAGAACTTGAGTGGCAGGTATAAAGGAATTCTCTGTCCTATTGTTATGGCAGAAAAATGTGAGATTCTAAACGTTCAGCCAATATTTAGGGGTCAACAAAGTTTCTTATTAAGTGGATGGATCAAGAATGTCAGCTAATGCTCTAATTATTCAGACCCTGAGGGGAAGCAAAGATCAGGTTTATATACAGAAATTGGGCATGGGAGTTACACAGTTTGTTGTGGCTGGCTTTTAAGATTTCTTCACATTCAGGAGTTGTTATTGTTTCTGACTTCTCATGGGTATCCAGGTGCCAGGCCAGGTACAGGATTAGTCAGGGAGTGGTAACCAAGCTGGGTCAGCATGTACTAGAGAACATGAAGCTTAACAACATGTGTTATTGGCACAATTATTGATGCTTAATTAGAGCAAAACGGTTTCTCTGATGTTAAATATAAAATGCCTTCTCTAATGTTTAACATATAAGCTGCTACTACATTTACTCCTCCTGCTTATACACAAACTATTGAGTGAACGTCAGGGTCTTTAGTTGCTAGGGGCTCATAATACTGAGATAAGAACACAAGGTTACGGTTGGAATCCACCAGATGCTCTGCTGGAAAAGGAGGGACAATCTCCTCCTGTACCAGTCAGATCTGATACGACGGTATACACACAAAAGAATAAAATAATTTTTTTTTAAAAAAAAGAACACAAGGTTAACAGTGAGATTCTAGTGAGTAAAGAAGCTAACCAGGGATTCCAACTAAACATTTTCTGATGCTAACACTGTCTGGATTTCCATTCTGTCAGTCAGGCTTTGAAGGTTATTTTTTTTTTACTTTTTGCAGAACATTAATAATAACTTTTGACTGATTAGCATAGAAGCAACAGGTTTCTCTTACAGTAGCACACATCACCCCTGGGAGAGAAACAGGAGATGTAAACTTTGCTGGTCCTGGAGTATAACTTTAGGTAAGGATTTAACTTGGCCATGCAGAAGGGAAACAGCATACTGAAGGCTGTCAAGATACTTACATGTTTCTTTTGACTAGTTTTTTAGTGAGGAGCTGCTGCTCTGGCAATACTGAGACCTGAAAGAATAGGTATTACAGGGAAGTGTGTTTGGTAACATGGAACCCTGGCAGAGTAATACATTTTAGCTCCTCTTGGCCACTTTAAACATACATTTGAGGGAGAACTTGGACAAAGACACATAGGATAGGCTTAGTTACTAGTGACCTTTGGAAAATATTTTGTGAAGTTGTACAAGTTAGCCAAGATCTATTAGGAGCAAAACAGATTAGGGAAGAATCAAGAATGACAGTTTTCATCCGTACTTACTTATAGATTGTAGAGTGGTCTAGCACCCAGGCAAAGCCTGCAATCAGAAGGAAGTCCTGGATGGGTCATGTTGAAGAACCAGTGTATTGCAGAGACTATGGAGAGCAGAGTGGGTGGAGGACTGCAGCCAGTGGCTGGTGATGAGGGAAAGGAGGAACGCTGAGTAGAGCAGGGTGCTTGTTGAAGAAAGGATCTTCCAACTCAGCTAATGGTCCGATAGGTTTTACAACTGTCTCTGCATGGTGTAGTTGACATTGAATGGCGAACGTTAGTTGGAGTGCTGTCCATTATGGGTTAACAGTTTGCTTTGGTGACTTGGGTGCTGCTTTTCTTCATGAGAAATGAATTCACAGGTCTTGGAATTTTGACTACAGTGGGAGTAGTCAGGATAACTTGTTGGTCGGCTTCATATAGGCTGCAAAGCTTTCTTTACATTTTAACCAGAACTGAGTTTTCCAGCTGAAAAGTTTCACAAGAGGTAGTTTCTTAGAAATAGAAGCCGCCTAGCTCTAGATCAGTGGGGAAATCGGGCAAAATAAATACTTTCATTATTATACAAATTAGAAAATACTTACTGGTCTTTCAGTGTGATAGGAAGGGCAGGCTAAATATTTTGTGAGCAAGAATCTAATAACTGACAGGCTTGAGTGCACACATACAATACTGAGGAAATTTCACATCATTTCTTCTTCCCAATTTTTGTGCTCCTGTCAGCATTGAAACAGTAATGTTAACATTATTTATTAATTGCAAAGTGAATCTGAAACCTCGGTTAACATTTACTTGACAAATCTGTCTGGGCTTCTTGGCATAATTTTACTAGGGTGATTTTAAGGGTTCTCTTTATTCTTTCTGCTTGTCCTGAACTCTGAGACTTGTAGGCTGTATGCCATTTTCAGGTGACACCTAAAGTTTTGGAGAGAGCTTGAGAGATTTTAGACACAAAAGCTGGGCCACTGTCTGAGACAATTGACAGTGGCCAACCAGGGCACTGTTTCCTGTAAAGAAGTTTTACAACTTCTTTAGCCTCTTGGTGCATGTGGAAGAGCTTCAACTCCCCAAAAAGGTGCATATAGCTACAAGAAGTTATTTATAAACTTCTTGTAAGGGCTTGAATTTAGTAAAATTTACTTCTACAAGTCTTGAATCTGGGAGGTCTCACCATCCTTTGGCTAAGGTAGGTCTTTTTCTTGTTTTGTAAAGTTTTTTTTCAGCTTCTGAATATTCAGGGTTTTTTGGCAGGGGAGGGGCAGAAGGGATTGGGGTGGTCTGTATGGGTTCAGCACTGAGAGCAGCTGCCTGGCTGAGGTGTCTGCCAGTCAGTTCCTTTTACCACGGGTTCATGTCCCCGGCAGTGGATTATTGCCACTTTTAACGCAGCCGTAGAGAGACAAACAGAAAACACAAACCAGAAACCTGGGTAAACCAGACTAGAAACCAGAGACTAACTGACTACTCACATCCTAGTTATGGCCAGTAGTCAGTCAGTCTGCATCTAAACTTATTTGACAGGATCCAGAATTATAGACCGTTAACAGAAACCAAAATTACAGAGTCTGACTCACCAGAGGTTTGTTGATCCTGAGAAAGAGTACCCAGAGGCATCTCAGCTCCAGCTGCCAGTGTTTCAGACAAGAGAGGCCTTGGAATGAACATCTCTGGTGTCCTCCTCCTTCTCTGGAAGCTGCTCTGGGGCCAAGTGAGTCTCAGTTGCTTGGTGCAGAGACTAAAAATGAGCTGAGGATCCCACTGGGGCCACCAAATGTTATGGTAGAAAATGTGGGCTTCTAAACAGCCAAAATTTTGGAGTCAGGAAAGTTTCTTTATTAAGCATGCTGGTTAAGAATGTCAGTTAATGCTGGAACTGTTCAGACCCTGAGAGGAACAGAGGTTGGGCATGGGATTACAGAGATTGCTGTGGTTGGCAGTTGAGATTTCTTCACATTCAGGAAGTTGTTATTGTTTGTGACTTCTCATGGGTGTCCAGGTCCGAGGCCAGGTACAGGATATAGTCAGGGAGTGGTAACCAAGCTGGGTCAGCATGTGCTAGAGAACATGAAGCTTACAAACACGTGTTATTGCTAAAATTATTGATGCTTAATTAGAGCAAAATGGTTTTTCTAATGCTAACATATAAAAGGTCTTCTCTAGTGCTTAAAATGTAAGCTACTACTACTACACTATGTTTGGAGCTTTTCTTTAAATATAAAATTATTCCAAAATTAAAAGTTCTTTTGTTTTTAAAAGATACTAACAGATTTCTAGGACATAATAAAGGAAAAGAAAAACAATAAAGATTAAACAACTGCTACATCTAGTTACTAGAAATGAAAATACTGCTAAATACCTGGCAGTGTACAAACTATAGTCCCCTATAACAAATCATTATCATAGTGTAAAACATAGAGGGATGTTAACTGAAGGGTGGGCAGCTCTAACTCACAGGAGGCTCTGCAGGAGCAAGATGAGCAGTCTGTTCCCATAAAGATTTAGAAACTGGAGAAACTGTGGGAGGGTCCCCATGAGTTAGAGTCAACGGGATCAATGGGTTTTGGGTTTTAGTTTTAAGTATCAGTTATACTGAGGTAGATAAACCATATTGTAGGTTGCATTTCCGAAACTTTTCTTCTCAGTGGATAATCAGTAAAAATTTCAATTGGAAATTAGCTTGAAGCATTGATGAGAATGTGGACATTCTTAAGACAGTCATCTTATTGTGCACTTCACAAGTGGTTAATCAGTAGATTACATAAAATATGATGGGAAAATAATGGGACCACATGTTGAGGTCAGGGGGAAAGCAATGCTAACAACTTATTGCGAAACTGCAAGCAGATTGTAGTTGTTATTGTTATTTGCCATCAAGTCACCTGTGACCCATAGCGACTCTTTGTACAGCAACTCTAAAGGTTTTAAGGTACAGTTTGAAAATGATGGGTGTCATCTTTACAATCACTTTCTATACTATTTTAAGTCATGTTAGATCTTTTTTGGTGTGAGAATATTCTCTTACTGATGAGTTTATTACCATTTCTAGGGTCTGTGGAAATGGAACCAAATTCTCTGAGGACTAAAGTCCCAGCTTTCTTATCTGACTTGGGGAAGGCCACATTAAGAGGTATCAGAAAGTGTCCTCACTGTGGCACGTACAACGGAACCCGCGGACTGAGCTGTAAGAACAAGACGTGTGGAACCATCTTCCGCTATGGAGCTCGGAAACAGCCTAGTGCTGAAGCTGTCAAAATCATCACAGGCTCTGAGCTGCAGGTCTACTCAGTACGGCAGAGGGACCGGGGACCAGATTATCGATGCTTTGTGGAACTAGGTGTTTCAGAGACAACAATCCAGACGGTAGATGGGACAGTCATCACTCAGCTGAGCTCTGGACGGTGTTATGTCCCCTCATGCCTGAAAGCTGCCAACCAAGGTGTTGTGGAAAACCAGTGCCAGCACATTAAGCTTGCAGGGAGCTGCCAGGCTGAGGCCACCCCTCTCACCCTAAAAAGTTCTGTACTGAATGCAATGCAGGCCTCCCCGGAAACCAAACAGACCATCTGGCAACTGGCTACAGAACCCACAGGCCCATTGGTACAAAGGATTACAAAAAATATTTTGGTGGTGAAATGCAAGGCAAGCCAGAAGCACAGTTTGGGCTATTTGCATGCATCCTTTGTGCAGAAAATTGGTGCCAAAAGCTTACCTGAACGCCGCTTCTTTTGCTCCTGCCAGACTCTGAAATCACACAAGTCAAACGCCTCCAAGGATGAGATTACCCAGAGGTGCATTCATTTCTTTGCTTGCATCTGTGCCTTTGCCAGTGATGAGGCATTGACTCAGGAATTCTCAGAGTTCCTCAATTTTGATTCCAGCGGTAGGTGGTATCGTTAACACAGTTCTTAGGGTTGTTTTCTGGTGGGTTTTTTTTTTCCTTTTCCCTTTTATTTTTTTTTAATATTTATGACAAAGTTCCTCTGATAGAATTTGGAAATTGTCCTAGAAATCCTCAGAAGCAGTTGCTAAGTAAGCATTGTGAAAAGTATTTCTTCTTCTTGTCCCAGCCAGCACACTTGCATAAAAGGTTGGTTGATTGACATGAATGATCAAGAGACTTCAGTGCTTTCATGATGACAATCTAGCAAATCTATACTTTAAATTTTTACTCTTCCACAGATATCCTATGTTACTAAAGACAAAGGACAGCTCTCAAATCTATTTTACTCTATCTTGTTTGCTTGTTTCTTTGAAGATGTGGAAAACTAAGAGCAGCTTGCTAAAAAGAGAATCTTTCCAAGTTTCTGTATCAAGTCTTTTGTTGTTGATATATTTTACTGGGACATGTTTTTCTGTTTATTTCATGATATTTACTTGGTATTAGCTCCCAGCTTTTTTTGTTACATTTCTCTGTATAGCTTTCTGTCAAGTCAGTGAAAACAAACAAGTGCATATGTTTTGGGGAGTTCTTAGGAAGAACTTACTAGTAATAAAAAAAGTGCAACTTATTCTAGAAATAAGTTGTCAATTCATATTTGTTTTGGTATTTGGATTGTGATAAATTAATTTTTCTTTAAGTAAGAACATACTCTCAGACCTTATTAGTAATTCAGAAATCTCTTATTTTCTAGGTCTTAAAGAGATTATTGTGCCCCAATTAGGTTGCCACTCAGAGTCAACAGTATCAGCTGCCTCTAAACCAAAGAGGAAGAAAAAGGAAGAAATACCTGGTGAGGAGCTCTTTGTCAATGGTCTTTTCAGATGAGGGTGGGGTTGGAGGCAGGAGCAGAGAGAGAGGGCATGTTTCTTTTTTTAACTGTTTTTAATTCAATCATTTGTATATATTTTGTTGGTAACATTAATTACAACTGATCAATGCCATTTATTTCATTTCATCAAATCCCCACTGTCCTTTGCCTTTCCAGTCACCCTGCCCATCCATCTAATTTCTGTTCTTCTCTCCCACCTGTCAGTCCTCCATGATTGTTTCAGTGTGTAAACCTTTCCTTAGCTCCCCCCAATCAATTAAGCATATCTTGTTCCATATTGTTAATTATAATATACACAAGTATCTTTTCGTCCATCCATTCCACGTTGTCTTTCCCTTCATTCATTTATTCCAGTAGAGTGTTTATTGTCTATCCATTAATTTTCTAATCTCTCCTCCCCCAGACTATGCTAGATTGATTCTCTCCCTATGCAGATCTTTCTCTCCGTCTTTTGTTGGTTTTATTTTATAATAGCTGTTTTGTACACTACTTCTCCCTTTGTGACTGACTTATTTCATTCAACATGATTTCCTCTTGACTTGTCCATGTTATATAGTGTTTCACAAGTTATTTGTTTTTTAATGCCATACAATACACCACTTTGTGAATGTACGACAGTTTCTCTGTCCATTCATTTGTTGATGGACAGTTGGCTGTTTCAATCTCTTTGTTGTTGTGAATAATGCCACAGTAAACATGAGTGTGCATGAATCTCTTCGTATTGCATAAATCTGTTCATATTGCAGCTCTACAGTGTATTCCCAGTAGTAGGGTGTTATTGTTGTTAAGTCCCTGTGAATGAAAGACTTGAACACTTGTGTAACTTCCATTGTTTCTCTAAGTTCATAGAGTTTCCAGAGGCAAGCTATTTTGGAAGTGGATACCAATCCTGCTTCTAAGTCTGTTAGCAGGATCAAATGGTATTTCTGTTTTCAACTTTTTTAAACAAATGCCAAACTGTCTTCCATAGCGGTTGCACCATTTTTACATTCTTGCAAACAGTACATAAAAGTTCCACATCCTTACCAGCACTTGTTTGCGCTGCCATTGGACTTTGCTACTATTGCTGGGATGAGATGCTGGGATCTTGTTGTTGTTTGAATTTGTATCTCCAATAGCTGGTGATCTTGAGTTTGCTGGCCATCTGAATGTCTTCAGACCTTTGGTAAGTGGGTAGTTTGTCTTTTTCCTATTGATGTGCTGGAGTTTTCTATGAGTTTTAGATAATGAATCTGTTATCAGATAGGCCATTGTCAATTTCCCCCCCCCCCAAGTCTGTAGTCTCCTTTTTAACCCTTTTAGAGAAATTTTTTGGTGCACACAAAAATTTAATTTTTAGAAGGGCCCATTCAGTCTCTTGATTTGTACAGTTTTGGCAATGGTTGATAGCTTATTTATGCCATAGATTGTTGTTGTTTTGCATCATTGAACTGGAACCGATTCATAGCTGACCTTCCAGTGTTTTCAAAGGCAATAAATCACAGGAGAAGAGAGTGCCCATATTCTGCAGAGCAGCTGGTGGATGCGAACCATGTGCCTTTGAGTTGGCAGTACACCTCCTTACCACTAGATTAAAGTTCCTGAACTTACACTGTTTGGACCTTTTACATTCCCACCAGCAGTCAGTGAGAGTTCCAAACCCTTGATGTCCTTGCCAACATTTGTTGTTTGATGTCATGTAGAACTTTGCTATTATTACTGGGGTGAGATGATATCTCATTGTTGTTTTGATTTGCATCTTATAGCTAGTCCAGCTTCTTGAATGATTTGCTCTGCATATTGATTGAATAGGTGGAGAGAAGATTGAAGTGGTTAACGATTTCATCTTGCTGATGTCCACAGTCAATACCCTTGGCAACAGCAGTCAAAAAATAAAATAAATATGTTACATGGGAGAAGTCTTTGGTCCGGATCTTTTCCAAAGTTCTAATGAGCGGCAGTGTCAATCTGAGAACTAAACTGTGCCTGATTCAAGTCATGGTCTTTTCAGTTGCTTCCTATACATCTGAAAGCTGGACAATGACTAGGGATAACAGTAGAGGAATTGATGCCTTTGAGTTATGGAGAAGAGTACTGAATATCCCAAGGATTGCTCAAAGAACACACAATATGTCTTGGAGAAGATGCAGCTAGGATGCTCCTTAGAAGAAGGATGATGAAACTGCCTCATATAATGTGAGCATGTTGCTGGGAGAGGCCAGTACCTATTGAAGGACGTCATGCTTGGATGAGTAAGCAAAAGAAGACCTTCAATGAACTGGACTGACACAACAGGCTCAAGTATAGCAGGGATAATGAGGGTAGGGCAGGGCTCAAGTCCGCTAGCATAGAGTCACTGTGAATCATGGTCAACTCAACAGCACCTAACAACAACAGCAGCAATAGCTAGTGATGTTGAGCATTTCCCCATGTGTTTCTGACTGTCTTTTTTGGTGCAGAGTTTTTTCATATTATCTGCCCATTTTGTAATTGAGTGGTTTGTCTTTTTCTTGTTAAATTGTTAGAGCTCTTTGTAAATTTCAGATGTGAATCTCTTATTAGAAATGTCATTGCCAATTATTTTTCCCTACTCTGTCTCTTTTTTCTCTTTTGGAGAAGTTTTTGTTTTTTCAAATGACTAGAACAGTACCAAGAGTGTTGATTGTGGAGCCAAGCAAACTAAAGCTGTTAACAATCTCAGTCTTTTCACCACCTGTCATGATGCTATTAATCAGCCCAGTGGTGAGAATTTTTGTTTTCTTGATGTTGAGCTTCAATCCGTATTGAAGGCTGCAGTACTTGACCTTCTGCAGCAAAGACTTCAGGTCCTTCTCAGTCTCAACAAGCAGGGTTGTATCATCTGCATAATTCAGATTGTTGATAAATCTTCCTCCAATCCTGATGCCACACTTCTCCTCATAAAGCCCAGTCTCCCAGATAATCTGTTCTGCATATAGACTGAAAAGGTATGGAGATAGGACACATTTCTGGTGTACACCCTTCCCAATTTAGAACCATACAGTAAGTGTTTCCTTGCTCTGTTCTGACTATAGGTTTTGCATAAGCACAATCAACTATTGTGAGATTCCTATTCCTTTCAGTGGCAGCCACAGTTTGTTGTGATCCACACAGTCAAATGCCTTTCTACAGTCAACACTTTTGGTACCAGCAGCCAGGAAATTGAAAGACAAATTGCACTGGGAAGGTCTGCTGCCAGAGACCTCTCCAAAGTACTGAAGAGCAACTGTGTCAGTCTGGAAACTAAGGTGCACCTCATTCAGGCCATAGTCTTTGCAGTTACTTGCTATGCACCAGAAAGCTGGACAGTATGATAGAAGGAGAATTAAGCCCTTTGAGCTGTGGTGCTGGAGAAGAGTATTGAAGATACTACGGACTGCTAGGAGAATAAACAGGTTCATCCTAGAGAGGGTGAGACGAGGCTGCTTCTTGGAGTCAAGGATTCTGAAGCTTTGTCTGACATACTTTGGACATGTTGCAAGGAGGGATCAGTCCTTGGAGAGGGATGTCATGCTTGGGAGGGTGGAGGGACAGCACAGGAGAGGAAGACCATCTCAGAGATGGCTTGATTCAGTGACTGGGGTAATGAGGGCAGGTGTGTCAGAGACAAGATTGGCACAGGATCGAGCAGGGTTTAGGGCTGTTGTACATGAGGGTGCCTTGAATTACAGGCATCTCTACAGCACACAACAACAGTAAGAACAGTACAGGTTTTGTGTGACTCTACTTTTACAGTTACCTTACTGCATCATCAGTGTCAGAAATCTGTTCTTTCAGGTGACTCCACTGCTTTGAGTTTAGCGAAATAGCTTTTCTTCTTGGTTTCATTTCACCTTCTTGATTCGTCTGGTGTTCTCCTATATGTTAGGACTTTCCCTTTAAATACTTGAACACTGACATGTCTCATTTTCCAATATAGAATGTTATCATTTCTGCTGCTGCTCTGCTTGGATGATTAACAGGGCCTGGGAGGTTTCACCTGTCCTTTGCTTCTTTACAGGCTTTTCTGGGGCAACTTACTTTTTTCTCTTTAACTTTTTGTCGATTTCACTGTCAGGATCACTGCCAGATATGCTTGAAGAAAAAAATTCCTTTGATTTAGGCTTTGCTTTGTTCCTTATATTACAGCTCTTCCTCCTCCTATGTGTTTCTATACTTGAGGGCTCAGCCTCAGTTGTCCTATCTGCTAGTCTAAGTTTTCTCTGTTGTACATAGGGTTTTCAAAGGCCTGCTATTTCAGAAGTGGATGGCCAGTTATTCTTCCTAGTCTGTCCCAGTTTGAATGCTCAGATTTAGAACATTATCAGACAAGCATTTTACCAGAAAGAGCAGATAAAAGATCTTTCCCAATTGTAGAAATAACCAATAGATTCAGTGGTGTCCCCTCCCTTGGCAGCTATTTCTTGACCCACCCCTTTACCTGCTCCACCAGTATAGTGTAATGATAATAATAATAATAATAATGTGTAAAATGGTGCAACCACTATGGAAGGCCGTGTGGTGCTTTCTCAAAAAGTTGCAAATAGAAATACCATTTGACCCAGCAATTCCACTACTGGGAATTTACCCTAAAGAGACTATAACCACCACTCAAGCAGATATATGCACACCCATGTTTATTACATCTTTGTTCATAATAGCAAAGAGCTGGAAACAACCCAAGTGCCCATCAACAAACGAATGGATAGAGAAACCCTGGTATATTCACACAATGGAATACTATGTAGCATTGAAAAACAAGGAACTCATGAAATATTACACAAAATGGGTGCAGACATTATGCTGAGTGAAATATCTCAGTCACAAAAGGACAAATACTGTATGCTGCCACTGTTTTAAAACAGGATTGACATCAGGGTTGAGGGAAGACAGAGAAGTTGGAGATGAATGACGTATACTGCACTGAAACAGATGAGAGAGAACTGTTTAAAAAGGATATATGATTGGGTATTATTGTCATGACA